GCGCCTGGGTGGCTCAGTTGGTTGAGCATCCGACTTCGGCTCAGGTCATGATCTCGCGGTCCGTGGGTTTGAGCCCCGTGTTGGGCTCTGTGCTGACAGCTCAGAGCCTGGAGTCTGTTTCAGATTCTGTGTCTCCCTCTCTTTCTGACCCACCCCCGTTCATGCTGTCTCTCTCTGTCTCAAAAATAAATAAACGTTAAAAGTAATTCACATTAAACAAGACTGTTGTCGTTACAGGAATTACTGACACTGGAGGACGTGGCTGTGGACTTCTCCCGGGAGGAGTGGCAGCTCCTGGCCCCCGCCCAGAAGGACCTGTACCGGGATGTGATGTTGGAGAACTACAGGAACCTGGTGTCAGTGGGTGAGGAGAACTCCCCTGTGTCACTTAGAGGTGCCTGGGCACTGGCCTTTCCTCTATCACTCAATGAAAGCTTTGCCATCGCTGTGGTCTTGAGAAGAGTCCAATGTTTGGTCCCCTTTCTTGACCCCAGACAGAGCGGTGTAATCTTTTCTATCCTGAAAGAGAATCTTTGCATGTGAGAGATTGGTCGTCTCTAAAATGTAGTATTTTCCCATCTTGACCTACTGTACCCAAGTCACTAAGCATCTAAGTCTTCTGTCATTTCTCACGAACAGGGTGTCAAGCTACCAAACGAGATGCACTCTCTGTGTTGGAACACAGAGACGAAGCATGGATGAAAGCAGAGGATGAAATCCAGGGTAGAACCCGTGCAGGTGAGTGAGTGAGAACCAGCAAGGGGAATGGTGGAGGAAGTTACATTCTAGTCATGAAGACAAGGTGTCACAGCAGAGAGGGTATCTGAAGATACCGAAACAGCCCCTCCTCATACTCCTTTCCCCAGATGAGAACTGTTTTTCCCTGTGGCTGTTTAGCTTTAAATATGCTCCTTTTCTCTCCTTGGATCTTCCATTTATTTCATTTTACATCTTTATAATTTTCTTTTAAATTGGGATCATGTAGGGGGCGCCTGGGGGGCTCAGTTGGTTAAGCGTCCGACTTCTGCTTGGGTCATGATCTCATGGTTCATGGGTTCGAGCCCCACATCCGGCTCTGTGCTGACAGCTCAGAGCCTGGAGCCTTCTTTGGATTCTGTGTCTCCCTCTCTGTTCCTCCCCTGCTCACACTCTGTCTCTTTCTGTCTCTCTAAATAAACGTTGAAAAAAATTTTTTTTTCAATAAATTGGGATCATGTGATCAACAATAAAGAGTCAGCCCCACTGTGTCATCTTTAAAACACTTTTATTTGATACCGTTCTCATGAGAGAATTTGTTACTGTCTTTTTGCCTAGGAATTGGGAAGGTTGACAGTCATCTGCAAGAGCACTCTCAAAACCACAGATTTCTGAAGAGCCTTCAACAATATGGAGAACAGAGCGCATTTAGAAATGCTGTTCACCTGAGCAAAATACATTTTGCCTTAACGCAGAATCATGTGTTTGACTTATGTAGAAAAGCTTTGAAATCAAGTTTAAGTTTAGTTAACCAGAAGAGAAGATATGAAATAGAGAAAGCCGATGACTTTAATGGAGACGAGAAATCTTTTCTACGTGGTAATCATGAATGTTTGTATACTGGAATTGAATTCCCTGAATGTGCGAAACACATCAGCACCAAATTCCAAGTCTTTAAGCATCAGAGGACTCCTAACACGGAGAACTCCCAGGCATGCATCGAAGGTGAGAAAACGTGCATCAGGAAGTCCCGGCTCCTTTACCGTGAGGGCGGTCACAGAGGAGAGAAGCCCCACGGGTATGATCCGTGTGGGAGATCCTTCTCCAGAAATGTCATGTTCACTAAGCATCAGAAAACTGCACCAGACAGAGTCTGTATAGCCAACGACTGCAGAAGAGGCGCTAGTGCGAAGAGCAGCCTCGCTGTGCCTCGGCAAACCCATACGGCAGAGAAGTCCTACACGTGTGGTGAGTGTGGAAAAGGCTTCACCATGAAGCGCTATCTGATCGCACATCAGCGAACTCACAGTGGAGAGAAACCTTATGTCTGTGACGAATGTGGAAAAGGCTTCACCGTGAAGAGCAACCTCATTGTGCATCAGCGAACTCACACAGGGGAGAAACCCTACGTATGCACCGAATGTGGAAAAGGCTTCACCATGAAGCGTTATCTGGTTGTACATCAGCGAACTCATACCGGAGAGAAACCCTATATATGCGGCGAATGTGGAAAAGGCTTCACTGTGAAGAGTAATCTCATTGTGCATCAGCGATCTCATACTGGGGAAAAATCTTACATGTGCTCTGAATGTGGAAAAGGCTTCACCACAAAGCGCACCCTCGTTATACATCAGCGAACTCACACAGGAGAGAAATCTTACCTATGTAATGAATGTGGAAAAGGCTTCACCACAAAGCGCACCCTTATTATACATCAGCGAACTCATACAGGTGAGAAACCCTATGAATGCAGGGAGTGTGGTAAAGCCTTTAGCCAGAAGATCTGCCTCATACAACATGAGAGATGTCATACAGGAAAGACTCCCTTTGTGTGTACCGAGTGTGGCAAATCCTATTCTCACAAATACGGTCTCATTACGCATCAGAGAATTCACACGGGGGAGAAACCCTATGAGTGCAGTGAATGTGGGAAAGCATTCACCACAAAGTCAGTACTCAACGTCCATCAAAGAACTCACACAGGAGAGCGACCCTATGGATGCAGCGATTGTGAGAAAGCCTTCTCCCACTTGTCAAACCTTGTTAAACATAAGAAAATGCACACGAGAGAAACGGGTAGATTCAGTCAGGTTGGAAATTCCTTTAACACAGAGTCGCGGCTCATTACTTAACGAGTGAACTCGTGCAAAACAAAAGCCCTTTGAATGTGATGCCTTCTGTGGCAACCAAGACTTCGTTAAACATCACTGTTTCCGGCAGATTGGAATGTCATTGTGTCCCTGCCTGTTGTCATATGTGTGCCCTGAGGAGATTAAAGAACTTGTCCAGGAGGTAAACCTGGTGAATACAGTGAATGTGGTGCCTTCTGTGATCCTTACCCTGTATTTTCTGTCAATGAAAACATGTTGGAAAAACTCATGCATTGAGCATGGAGATGCCTTGAGCAAAACTTGCTAGCTTCATTATATTCTGAGAAGTGGATACTGAGCCCAATTCTGTTGACTACAGAGACTAGGAAGGCCTTCAGTGGGAAGGTAGATTATTATCAGGGATCGTCGTAGATCATCAGTGAGCTTATTGTTCATAGAAATACCATTTTAAAGAAATTCATGTTGACCATGACCATGAGAAAGCCTTTACCCAGAAAGAAGACCTCAGTGAGTGTCAAGAGTCCACACTGGAGAAAAACTTTAGGAGGACAGTATGACAGGATGTCAGTGATACATCCTGCCTTGTTTGGTCAGGTATCATACAGAAATTAAAACTCTATGAACATGCTAAATGTAGAGCACCTTTAGTCAGATATCAGAGAACTCGTGAAGGAATGAAGTCCTGTGAAAGTGGAAAATATTTGAATGCCTTTTTAAAAAAAGTTTTTTTAATGTTTATTTTGAGAGAGAGGGTACAAGTGGGGGAGGGACCGGGGGGTGGGGGGAGCGGGGACAGTGGATCCAAAGCCAGCTTTGTGTGGACAGCAGAGAGCCTAATGCGGGGCTCGAACTTGCAAACTGTGAGATCATGACCAACTAGGCCAAAGTTGGACACTTAACCAAGTGAGCCACCCAGGTGCCCCTGTTTGAGTGCTTTTAAATATTGCAAGTCTGACCTCATTGTATACATCAGGTAATTCACCTGATGTGCATTTTCAGATGATACTTGGGAGCCCTTTTCTAGTTGCCTTGTCACTAATTCCATAGTTTTAAAAGTTAGTCTGCTTTCTTCATCATTGACTAATATTTATTGTTCTATGGAGTGTTCTAGGACTACCCTGTATTACATGATTTGTAAATTTAGTATTTTGAAGTATTTTTTTTATTTAAAAAAAAATTTTTTTAACGTTTATTTATTTTTGAGACAGAGAGAGACAGAACATGAACGGGGGAGGGTCAGAGAGAGAGGGACACAGAATCTGAAACAGGCCCCAGGCTCTGAGCGGTCAGCACAGAGCCCGACGCAGGGCTCGAACTCACGGACCGTGAGATCATGACCTGAGCCGAAGTTGGACGCTTAACCGACCAAGCCACCCAGGCGCCCCGAGTATTTTGAAGTATTTTAAAAGGAAACTTTTAAATTTATGATACCAGATATTTGTACTTGCTTAACTCAGTTTTTAATTATGACCAGATATTTTATAAAACCACCTTCCAAGTTTTTTTTTTTAATTTTGTTTTTTAATGTTTATTTACTTTTGAGAGAGAGAGAGAGAGAGAGACAGAGCACAAGCGGGGGAGGGGCAGAGAGAGAGGAGACACTGAATCTGTAGTAGGCTCCAGGCTCTGAGCTGTCAGCACAGAGCCCAATGTGGGGCTCAAACTCACCAATCAGGAGATCGTGACCTGAGCCAAAGTTGGATGCTTAACCAACTGAGCCACCCAGGCACCCCCCAAGTTATTTTTGAAAATGTTTAATTTGAAATCATTTTAACTTAGAAGAAATTGCAAGATAGTCCAGAGACTTCCCTAGTATCCTTTACCTAATGTCTCCCAGTATGTAAACCACATTTTGTTGTTGAATCTAGGAAAATGACATTGGTAGTGTACTGTTAGCTAAACCCTTAACCTTATTTGGATTTCATTAGATTTTCATAGTTTTTGTTTTGTTTTTTTAGGTTGTAATTCTAAGCAGCTTTATTACATTATAGTCATGTAAACCACTATTACGACCAGGATGTAAAACTGTGATCAACACAGAGTCTCTCCCTTTTTATGTTCATACCCTTTATCCAGACCTACCTCCTGCAACCACTTACATTTTCCATCAGTATAACCGTGTAATTCTATGAATGCTATAAAAATCATTTTTATAACTGGATTTTATATATTTTGTAGACGTATTTATGTAATTTTATAATTTTGATAAAGGTTATTACAATATTATTGACTATGTACAAATTTATAATTTTTTATTAATAGGGAGCATGTAAACTTTTCATGTTTTTGTCATTCGCAAATTGCTCTGAAGACTTACTTGAGTTGCTGGATGGTTTTATTATTGTGAGTAGTACACATACAAATGTGTCATTACTGACACGTTTTATTAGTAATACACATGACCAGTTTATTTATCCCTTTATTTTTTTAAATTTTTTAAATTAAAAAAAAATTTTTGAGAGAAAGAACGCACGTGAGCAGGGGGCAGAAAGGTAGAGAGATGGAGAGAGAAGCGGGGCTCACCTGCAGCGCAGCACGAGTTCACCCAAAGTGGGTCTCGGGCTCACCGATTATGGGGCTTGAACTCATGAATCGTGAGATGATCTGAGCTGAAATCTGAAGCTTAACTGACTAAGCCACCCAGGTGCCCCTTTCCCTTCACTCGAGATTTCCTGGTTTCAACTGTTGTAAAGATGGTATGAAATCTGCATACGGGGCTTTGTGTGAACATAAATTTTAATTCCTCTACAATAAATATTCAAGTGTATGATTGTTGGGATGTATGATAAGTTGTGTTTAGCCTTTTAAGAAACTAGTCTCTTCCAATGCCCTGTGCTCTTTTACATTCTCACCAGCAGTGTATGAAATACTGTTCCACATCCTCTCCAGCACTGGGCATTCAGTATACTTGGCCTTGAATAATGTAGGGGTTAGGGGCACTGACCCCCACGCAGTTGAAAATCCACATATAACTTAACTGCTAATAGCCAACTGTTGATCGGGAGCCTTACCAATAACATAAATAGTTGCTTAACACATATTTTGTATATTATATGTATTATATACTGTATTCTTAAAGTAAGCTATAGAAAAGAATGTTAAAATCCGACTTTTGGGGAAGAAAGAAAAATACCATATGATTTCACTCATACATGGAATTAAAGAAACAAATGAATAAAGCAAAAAAAAAAAAAAAAGACCAAAAAACCAGACTGTTAAATATAGAGAACAATCTGAGGGTTACTAGGAGGGGAGGTGGGTAGGGGAATGGGTAAAAACATGGGGATTAAGAGTACACTTATTATGGTGAACACTGAGTAATTTATAGAATGGTTGAATCACTGTATTGTACACCTAAAATTAGTATAACACTGTATGTTAATTATACTGGAATGTTAAAAGATTTACAAAGCCTAAGAAAAACAAAAACAAGGAAGAGAAAGTACATTTACAGTGCTTTACTGTAAAAAAAAAAAACAAAAACCCTGCATATAAGTGAACCCATGCAGTTCAACCCCACGTTGCTCAAGGGTCAGCTGTAGATTTTATTTTAGCCATTCCACCAGCAGCATAGGAGAGACTCAGTCGCTCTCCATCCTCACCAGCACTTGGTATTGTCGTTATATTTTACATTAACCATTTTATTAGGTATAGAGTAGTAACCGATCTGGAGCTTAACTTGGGTCTCCCCAATGGCTAACGATATTCCACACATCATTACTACTATTATTACAGACTTATTTATCTTATAACTGGAAGTTTGTACCTTTTGATCACCTTCACCCATTTCATCCACATCCCACCCCCACCCCTGCCTGTCACAACCAAATTTTTTTCTGTATCTAGGAGTTTTTTTTTTTAGATTCCATATATAAATAAGATCATACAATATTTGTCTTTCTCTGATTTATTTCACTCAGCATAATACCCTTAGGATCTATTCATGAGTCATATATGACAGGATTTTCTTCTTTTCTTTTTTTTTTTTTAAGTTTATTTATTTTGAGAGGGCACAATTGGGGGCAGGTCAGAGAGAGGGAGAAAGAGAGAATCCCAAGCAGGCTCCACGCTGTCAGTGCAGAGCCCAACATGGGGCTCAGCCTCACAAACCCTGAGATTGTGACCTGAGCTGAAGCCAAGAGCTGGATGCTTAACCAACTGAGCCACCCAGGTGCCCCAAGGTTTTCTTTTTTATGGCTGAATATTCAATTGTGTGTGTCTGTGCCTGTACCACATTTTTTAAATCCATTCGTTTGTATAGGACACTTAGGTTTTGATGCATGGCTATTGTAAACAATACTGCGGTGAACGTGGGGGTACGGCTGTGTTTCTGAAAGTGACTTCATTCCATTTGAGTGGATACAGGAGAATTGGTGGATCATATTGTAGTTTTGTTTTTAATTTTTTGAGGAACCTCCGTACTGTTTCATAGTGACTGCACCAGTTTACAGTATGTCTGTAGGTTGTTCATGAAGAGACATCTCTGATTTAACAAATCACCTACTGGTGTACATTCATACTGGTATTCGTTTCTTTTGACTGCGTTACAAAATTACTTTCCTAAAAGTTAATGTCTAAAGACAAACATTTACCAATTCTGTTGTGTGGGTCTAGGGTTGGATTGTCTAGTGTGGGCTGTCTGGACTGGGGCTGCACAAGCTAGGTGGCTTTTTTTTTTTTTTTACACGTCTAAGTGTCACTGGAATGGATGGGGTCATTCACAATCTCATGCTGCAAGAGGCTAGCCTGGGCTCTAGTATAATGTGTTAGAGGAGCTCCAAGAGAACCATATACCATACCTCACTGAGCAAGTCTGGTTCTGTCCTGTTTGTTACTGTCTTATTGGACACATTAGTCACAGTCCGTAGGAGGGGATGCTATCCAAAAGTGTGAATATAGAGATGGAAGGATAAATTTATTTTTTTAAATTAAAAAATGTTTATTTTTGAGAGAACAAGCAAGCGAGGGGCAGAGAGAGAGGGAGAAAGAAAATCCCAAGCAAGCTCTGAACTGTCAGTGCAGAGCCGGATGTGGGACTCGAACTCATGAACTGTGAGATTGTGACCTGAGCCAAAATCGAGAGTTGGACGTTTAACCGACTGAGCCACTCAGGCGCCCTGCAAGAGTAAATTTAAGAATCACAAGAGTGTTTATTTCCTTACATTTGTCAAAATTTATACCATAA